TCAGGCTGCACGGCGTGGGCCTGGGCACGGCGTGGAGGGAGAGCGCGGAGCGAGGGAGAGCAAGCGCGGGAGCGTGAGGCGTGGGAGGGAAAGCGGCGGGGGCAGCTCGGGGGAGCTGCGGGGTTTGGCCCATCGTTCGGTGCGCACTGGGGCACAGGCGGGGGGAGCAGAAGGAGGCGGATGAGCATGGAGAGGAAGGAAGGGCAAGAGCAGGAGGGCTCGGAGGAGCAGGAGGGGGGGAAGGAGGGGGCGGTAAAGACGAGGAAGGAAGCGGATCCAGAAGCGTGGTGCGAGTTGTGGCGAGAGCGCCATCGTCAACGACGGGAGACCAGTGCCGATCCTGACGCGTGGCCAACGCTGCTGCGGGAACGCCACTGGCCAAAGAACCCAAAAGTATCGGAAGATGATCCGGTTGTAAGAGAACGCAGGGGGAACAACAAAAATACATCCTGGGCGGCCATGTGGAAGCGACCATGCGGCGGGATAGGCGGGTGCGCCACTTCACGGTGCCTGGACAGAGGGAGAAAAATACTGAAACAGAGAGAGAGAGAGAGGCAGATAACAAAACAAACAGCTAACTAAACAAGCAACAAAAAAACAGCAACAAAAAAAAACATGCTGCATCCGAGGGAAGCGGTTCTACAAACCGCGGGGGGAGATGAGTAGGAGAACGGGAAAAATGGAGAGGAGGGGGGAGGGGGAAGAGGCGACGAGAAAGAAGGATCCTGAAGGAGGGAGGAAGGCGAGGAGGAGGGCGACGTGCGCGCCGTCCTCCCGCTCCTCCCGCACCCGCCGCAGCCTCCTGGCAGATACGGCGGCACCAAGCGCACCAGGGGATGCGCTGCTCGGCCCGGGCGCGCCCCTGCGGGCCGGCCCACGTCGGGCACACCGGGGGGCCGTCAAGTGAGACGCCGGGGGGTCTGTGACCGCCTCCTTCGGTGGTGCGACGAGGAGCTGTGGACACCGAGCACATCAGATCACTGATGCTGCAGTGCGCCCTCCCTCGAGAATCCTGGGGGCGCGTCACCGAGCACGAGGTCTGTAACGAAGGATTGCAAAAAAACCCTTCGTCGAAGGATTGCCAAAAAACCCTTCGAGGTTTTTTTTGCAATTCTTCGTAACGAGGGATTTTTGCAATCCTTCGTGCACGAGGTGGGCCTGGACAGGGCGAGGCAGCAGAGGCGCAGGACCAAGCTGGAGGACACACAGGGGCGCGAGGCGCAGGAGGACGAGAAAGGGGGGGGGCCTTGGAGGCCCGAGGTGGCCTGAAGAACGAGGTCGCTGACGCGGAGGGCGCTGAGCGAGACGAAGAACGATGGGCAGAAACACATGGAAATGAGAGTGGGGTGGGGGGTAGGAGGGAGGGAGGGAGGGAGGGAGGGAGGGAGAAAGGGGGGGCCCTGGAGGCCCGAGGTGGCCTGAGGAACGAGGTCGCTGACGCGGAGGGCGCTGAGCGAGACGAAGAACGATACGCAGAAACACATGGAAATGAGAGTGGGGTGGGGGGTAGGAGAGAGGGAGGGAGGGAGGGTGGGAGGGAGGGAGGGAGGGAGACGGCGGAGAAAGAGGGAGGGAGTGAGAAGGAAACGAGAGAAGGGACGGAGGAACGAGGACGCGGACGGGGGGGGAGAAGGACGAGAACGCGGAAGTGGTGGGGGAGGAAGACGGTATGAGAAGGAGCATGAGGGAGGATGAGGGGAGATAGGAGAAAGAGGAGGGGTGGTGGAGGACGGAAAGGAGGGGAAGGATACTGGGGAGGAGAGGGCGACAGAAGGATACTGAAAGGGGAGATACAGGAGAAGGGTGGGGGGCGTCGGAGGGTGAGGAAGGGGTTCGGAACGCATGGGGAGGGGGAGGGGCAGGAGGCATGATGGAAGAACAGGGGGCTGAGTATGAGGTTGAGAACGGAATTCGGGGAAGGGAGAGGACGAGGGCGAGGAAAGGGAGAGGCGGCAGCGGGATGAGGAGGAGGGAAAAGGGTAAGGTAAGAGAAGGCCGGGGAGAGGGGCTGCGGATGTGGGGGGGGAGAAAAAAGGGAGGGAGTGGGAGGAGCTTCTCCTCAACCTCCTGCGCTATTCCTCTTCCTCCTCGACCTCGGCCTCGACCTCCTCCCCCCCGCCCTCGCCCCACAACCTCCTCCTCCTCCTCCTTCGCCTCCTCCTCCTCCTCCTCCTACTCCCCTCCGCTCATTCCCCTCCCACCCCTTCCTTTCCTCTCCCGTACACCTCCCCCTCCCTGCCTCCGAACGTGTTCCTCGGAGGCGGGAGACTAGGTGTACGGGTGGGGGGCCTCTGTGGCAGCTCGGCCCCCTCTAAATGCGAGACTGCGGGCAATGCCGATCAGCTGCCCTGGGAAGCCGAGGCACGTAGCATCCCAGTACAGTCAGCGCAAGGGGTAAGACATCTGGGAGTCCCTCAACTCTGGGCGTCGCGACAAAAATCAAGACAGGCATTTTTGTCCCGACTTGGACCCTTCCAGATCGATGCGGCTCGAAAAACAATGCGGGAAAACTGTGTTTGGAGCCCCGAATCAAAAAAGCGTCATGTCTTCGGCATGGAAGCACAGCGCAGGGAGGAAAGGAAGGATACTGACCCGCCTATGGACCCTCCTCTGACTCCTTCACTCGAGTCCACCGTTGTCCTGCTGGTGCTGATGTTGGTGCTGCTGCCCCATAGCAAAGGAAATCAAGAAAAAATGCCGACCCTCAGCTTTCATCCCATCGACCCCCCCCACCCTGCTGGTACGTCATTGTTGTTGCTGTCCATCCTCCTCTTCCTCCTTTGTCTGCCCTTCTTATTGCTGTCCGTCCCGCTTCCTCTTCTTATTAGTCTTCCCATTATTCTTCTTACTCAACCCCCTCTTCTTCCTCTTCCAAAGGCTCCCAGCACAGAAGCAACGAGTTTCCATCGTCTTCTCCCCAGACGAGGCGCGCTATGGCGCGTTGCACGATGATGACAAAGAGCAGGAGAAACATGAAAGGGGGCGAGAGGGGACGGAGGAGGGAGAGGACGAAGAGGGAACCCAGACCCCCGACGACATGATTTTTTCATGACGCGACCCCCAGAACTCTGGACCCATTCCCTGAGACCGGCTCTTCATCCTGAGTCGTTTTTTGACGGTCCCGAGGCCCGGTAAGGGCCCCCAGAGGCCGAAAATAGCGAAAAAGCTCCCGTCGTGATTTTTTCATGACGCGAGGGGGTCTGGGAAGCAGGAGGAAGGAACCCGATGAGAGAGGACACGGCCGCTGTCCCCCCTTGGGAGAGAACGGGAGGCCACCCTCGGGGAGCGACAGAGGGGAGGAAAGAAATGGGGAGGATGCCAACATCCGCCACCGCGCCTCTGGGCACGGAGTGGGCGTGTCCTCAGGTCTTTGCCCAATCCCTGGAGCCTCAGTGGGAGGGCACCAAATATACACCAACACCGATCCTGGCCAGGATCGGTGTTGGTGTATAGTTGGTGCCTTCCTACTCAGTCCTCGGTCCTGAAGGGTCTGTAAGGGGCCCGGGCTCCAAATTCCGGAATCTGCCAGCGCTTCCCGCGTGCCCCCTGGGCTCAAGGAGGACTTCTCGCAGGACTTACTTCTTCGGGCCCAAGAGGGCCCGAAGACGGGACAGGAGGGCCCCACGAGGCCCTCAAGAGGGTCCACGAGGGCCCCGAGTCACCGAAAGATCGCCCCAAGATGCCCAAGAAGAAGGCCTCAAGATGGCCCAAGATGCCTCCAAGGCGCCCCAAGAGGCCGCCAAGAGGCCTCCAACGAGACCCCCAAGAGGCAAACATCATTGATTTTCCGCTGGTTTTGGAAGGATTTGGGCGTTCTCGCCTTTGCGGCTTCCCGACGGTCCAAAACGGCACGAGAGGCATCCAAGACCACCCCAAAACGGCCACAGGGGCCTCCAGAAGGGCCCCAAGACGGCCGAACAGCTCCCCAAGACGGCCCAAGAGGCGCCCCAAACGGTCCAAGATGCCCCCAAGACGGGCCCAAGAAGGGGAACACGAACCGCAAATCCGAGCCATCCGCCCCAAAGGTCCCCCCGGAGGCCCAAAGCGGCGCCCAAGAGGCCCCAAGAGGCCGCAGGCCCCCCGAGAGGTCCCGAAGGGGCTCCGAGAGGCCCCAAGAGGGCCCCCAAGAGGCCTCAAAAAGAGGCCCCCGAGAGGCCTCCCACGAGATCCCAACGAACATCCAATAGGCTTCGCACCCACAACCCAGGCACGGTGGCGGGATGGGCCGAAGACCAGTCGATGAGTAAAAGAGAGTGAGAGAGAGAGAGAGAGGAGGGAAAACGAAGGGGGGGAATAGGATGAGAAAGAAGAGGAGTTCGGAGGTTGATGGGGGCCAAAGAACCACAGAGGTCCTGGGAGATCACCAGAGGTCTCTGGAGGAACCCTGAGGTCCCATCAGAGGCCCGAGGAGGGCCAAAAGCGCCAAAAAGCTTCGATCTTCGATCCTGGAGCGGACCGATCCTCCGTGAGCCTCCATCCTCCTCGACCCTCAAAAGCCTCGATCCTAAAACTTTCTCGACCTTCGTTCCTAAAAGGGGGAGGGGGGGACTCGAAGGCTTGGGGACTGGCACGAGCACCAACACTGGAAATGGCCGCCACTGGGGAGGGAAGATCCCAATTCTTGGTGCTGGTGGTGCGTAATCTTCCGGCCACACAGGAAGCCCGAGTAGCACAACCAGCACGGAAATCGGGCTCGTCTTCCCTCGATGTAGGCAGTCGCCGTTATTCGCGTTGGTGCCGGCCTATAACCCTATAACCAATAGGCCTCCAAGGGAGCGGTGCCGAGGAGGGTCGGCGACTCCGAAGGGTGTGGTTGGCAAAGGCTGTGGTTTGCAACCAGCGCCCTGAGGGGCGGGCCAGAGCCTCGACGGAGTTCTCCGCCGCGCCCCGAGGAGGTCCGACGAGGGCAACGTGTTGCCCCCCAAGCCCCAACGGCGACGAGCGCAAACCACACCCCGGCGCAACCACACCCCGTGCGGTCGCCGACGAAGGGGTATAGCGTGGTCCTCCGGCTCGGACACGGGCCACGCACCGGTGCAGAGCGCCCCCAGCACTGCGGGCGGCCAGAGGGGGCGGAGAGAGACGGAGGTAGAGGTGCAAGGAGAGGGGTGAGGGGGGGATAGAGAAGAGACGGGGAGGAGATGGGAGAGAACCCGGGGGGTGCAAGCTGGGTGCGCTCGCGCCATACCTAACATCCTATCTGCTCCCGTTGCGCTGAAACTACACAACAGACCCCATCGTGTTATGCGCAGCCGGAAAAGAAAAACCTGTGGGACCTGTGCTAACTGGGGGACTTCTGTGGCCTGTGGGGCATGTTGGACCTGCGACACCTAAGCCAATGGGACCAATGGAACTTGTGGGACCTCTGGGACCTGTGGAGCCCGTGAGACCTGCGAGACCTCCGAGACCCGTGGCACCGTTGGGATCTGCAGGACCTGTGGGACCTCTGTGGGACCTGTGACACCTCTGGGACCTCTGGAACCTGCCAGACCCTGGCGGGCATGCGAGATCTGCGACACCAGTAAGACATGTGGGCCTAACCTGTCAGACTGGTAGTACCCATGTGACGTGTGGGACGACCTGCGACAATTGTGGGTCCTGTGTGACCTGTTGGACTTGTGGGGCCTGCGAGGCCATGGGACCTGCGAGATCCAGAAACATTGTCCACGCTGGGGCGGGAGGGCCATTCTGAACGACGGGAGCACAGCGCCGAGGGGGGGTGGCTACTCCGTCGCTCTCTGGACATAGGTGGGGGGAGAGAACAGAGAAGTACGAAGATCGGAGGTTGGGGGGTGAGTCCGACGTGAAACGGAGACCCCCCTACCAGGAAATCGCTACAGGTTTCGGGTTCGTGTCGTGCGTGCCGTGCGTGCGTGCGGGCGAGGCGAAGCTGCGTGGGCGGGAGAAGGGAAATCCTCCTGTGGCTGGGCCGCGGCCGGACCAAATGTAACTCCTCCGGCGGCCGGTGCCCCGCGGTGTCCCGCTGGTGTCCCGCGGGTGTCCCGAAATCCTCCTGTGGCTGGGCCGCGGCCGGACCAAATGTAACTCCTCCGGCGGCCGGTGCCCCGAGGTATCCCGCCGGTGTCCCGCGGGTGTCCCGAAACCTCCTGTGGCTGGGCCGCGGCCGGACCAAATGATGCTCCTCCGGCGGCCAGTGCCGCGCGGTGTCCCGCCGGTGTCCCGCTGGTGTCCCGAAATCCTCCTGTGGCTGGGCCGCGGCCAGACCAAATGATGCTCCTCCCGTCAAACGGTGGCCCGCGGTATCCCGCTGGTGTCCCGCCGTGGCTGCGGCGAGCTATCCAATGCAAGTCTACATGCAAACCGACATGCAAACCGAAAAGCACATCGAAACGCAAATCGACATGCAAATCCAAATGCAAATCGTACGGCGCCGTGGGTTGCGTATCTTAAAAAATCGGCGCCTGCGGCGAGCTTTCCAATGCAAGTCGACATGCAAGTCGAGATGCAGATCGAAAAGCAAATCGACATGCACATCGATATGCCGACATGCAATTCGAGATGCAGATCGAAAAGCAAGTCGACATGCAAGTCGATATGCAAATCCAAATGCAAATCGAAAGGCACATCGTCATGCTCAAGATCACATCACATCACATCACGCTCACGATCACAATCCGCCGGCCCCCTTGTGGGGCCACCACGCTGTAGGCGCTTCATTCGCAGCTTCCTGTACCAGTCGTAGGTTGTAGTTTCCAGTGTTACAGTTCTGCTTCTTGCTGGTTACTGTAACTAGTTGACTTCTTGCTGGTTACTGTAACTAGTTGATTGACCGCGCGAGGGGGGGGAGGCCCAAACAGGATTTTTAGCCTCACCTGGGCGCGTTGTCTGAATTGCTGGGGGGGCTCGGAATCGACACCCCTCACGCAGATCCGCGGGGTCAGGGTCCAAAACCAAAGAGGATTTGCCACATTTCTGCCAGTCGGTGCCACCCCTCACGCAGATCCGCGGGGCCAGGGTCCAAAAACACATGTGATTTGCCACATTTCTGAAATTCGGTGCCACCCCTCACGCAGATCCGCGGGGTCAGGGTCGAAAAACACATGGGATTTGCCACATTTCTTAAATTCGGTGCCACCCCTCACGCAGATCCGCGGGGTCAGATTCCCAAAACACATGTGATTTGCCACATTTCTGAAATTCGGTGCCACCCCTCACGTAGATCCGCGGGGTCAGGGTCGAAAAACACATGGGATTTGCCACATTTCTCAAATTCGGTGCCACCCCTCACGCAGATCCGCGGGGTCAGATTCCCAAAAAACACATGGGATTTGCTACATTTCTGAAAGTCGGTGCCACCCCTCACGCAGATCCGCGGGGTCAGGGTCGAAAAACAGATGGGATTTGCCACAGTTCTGAAATTCGGTGCCACCCCTCACGCAGATCCGCGGGGTCAGGGTCGAAAAACACATGGGATTTGCCACATTTCTGAAATTCGGTGCCACCCCTCACGCAGATCCGCGGGGTCAGGGTCCAAAAACACATGGGATTTGCCACATTTCTGAAATTCGGTGCCACCCCTCACGCAGATCCGCGGGGTCAGGGTCCAAAAACACAGGGGATTTGCCACATTTCTGAAATTCGAACCCATCACGCACATCCATCGCAAGGCGTGGTAACCCAAACTGCGAGAACTCCCTCGGCCCTTTAATCGCAAGGTGTGGTAACCAAGCCCTTAAACCATACACGTCTTACCAATCGCCAGGTGTGGTAACCCCTCTTGTGATCAGTTGGTTTTGCTGATTGCGACTCGGCTTCGCATGAAGTTTCGATACTGCTTCACGACAGCGCCAAGGCCTCATGACTTAGCTCTTCCATGGCCCATTCTCCGAGAGAGGGGGCCGGCGGCAGGGGGCGAAGCCCTTACGGATAACACTACTCAACAGACTGCGCACCATAGGCACCGTCAGAACAACAGTCACCACCGTTGCCCATTGCTGGACCCCCCCCCAACCTCCTCATCACCCGCAGGGTGGTCGTATAGGTAGTGTAAGCGTAGACGGGTGGAGGTGGAGAGGGGGAGGGAGGGAAAGGGAGGCGGAGAAGAGTGGCGGAAGATGGGGAGAGGGGGGAGGGAGGGAAAGGGAGGTGGAGGAGAGGGAAGAGGGGAAGAGAGGGGGCAGGGCGGGAAAGAAAATAGAGAGAGAGAGAGAGAACAAAAAAGACAAGATAGAGTGAGAGAGAGAGAGAAAGACAGAGAACACATAAACAAAGAGAGAGAGAGAGAAAGGGAGAGAGGGAGAGAGAGAACACATGAACAAAGAGAGAGAGAGGGAGAGAGGGAAAGAGAGAAAGAGAGAGGGAGAGTGCGCAGACCTCCGTCACGAGACAATCAAGACAGCCAGCGCATGTCCTCAGGCTCAGCTGTGGCATCCGAGGGGGGGGCGCATCGGGCCCCTGGGCACGTCGAACAACGATCGGAAGGCGAGCTCAGGGAAGAAGGCCGATGTGTACCGGGGCCACACGTTGAAAACATCACGTCGACGACAATGGGGGATTTGACCTCCTACTGTTGCGGTTGCTGTTGGCCTTGAGCCTTGGGGTCCATCCGACGCGGCCATCAAACCTCCTCCTCCTCCTCTTCCTCCTCCTCCTCCTCCTTTCTTCATGCCGGTCCTCCCTCCTCCTCATGCTTCCTCCTCCTCCTGCTCACATCCTCTTTGCCACCTCCCTTCTTTCTTCCCTTGCCCTTGCATGCCACCTCCATCCTCCTCATCCTCATCCTCCTCCTCCTCCAGCTCCCGCTCCTCCTCCCCATCATCGCACGAGGCCGCCCGCATACCGCTCTCTCCCAACCCCCGATGCCAGTCGCTCCTCGTCCCTTCCTTCAGGAGCGGATAAATGGCGACCTCCGAACCCTACCCCCACCAACCATCAATTCTACGGGATCGATGGTAGGCGGGTGTAGGGTTCAAATTTCGGTACGTGTCCGACAAGTTTCGAACCCAACCCCCCGCCGCCCGTCGAGTTGCCTGAATCTGGCCGCCGAGCAGAGGAAACGATACCACCACCAGTGCCTCAAAGATCAACCAAGGGGCCCCATTTGCGGGTGTGGCGTCGCTGCTTTCCAGCGTCACGCAGGAGGCATTTCGAACCTCCACCTCGGGGAGGCATCGTGGACCTCCTTGCATGGGGTGGCCCTCCTGGTGGTGGCGTCGCGTCTCCTTCCTCGGACCCTTTCCTGATGACAATCACCCCTGCGCCGCTTCTGCGCTCAGAATCAAGCACGAAGAGGAGCCAACCACAACCGCCGTGATGACGCAGCCGCCCCTGGCGCCCCCCGAATTCCGATGCCGACCCCCGTGCGGTGACGACCTGCGCGCGGCCCTCGATGCCGGGTGCCGCACGCAGGTCATCACCGCTGGGGGGTCGGGGTCGGCCTTGGGATGGCGCCAGGGGCGGTTTCATCAGTCCGGACGTTGTGGTTATCTCTTCTCTTGCCATCGCTCGGGCGTCCATTCCCCGCGCAATGTTCGGCTTCTTGCGTTCTTTTTGTTGCTCGATGATCCAAGATGCTCCTTGAGGGCCCTCGCCGAGAAAAAAATGCACGCGTCCGAGCGATGCCGAAGGAGACGCGACAAGACACGCCTGGTTCCCGCCTGCTTCGTGGTGGGGCGCACCGCCCATCCAGTCACGGAAGAGCAGGCGCGACGAGGACCGAGAAGAGGTGTCGGAGACGGGCGCCACGGCACACGCTGCAGGATAATTAGGCGAGACGCGCTCGAGACGCCCCTGCACGGTACCTTTCGGGCACCGTGCTGCAGAAATCCTCGTGCGGGTCTTCTGACTCCGACGTCTTGATTGTCTCAACGCGTGGCCTCTTGCAGAACAGGACCGGCTCATCGCCCAGGGCCTCAGCTCGACATTCCCGGGGCCCCAAAGCTGCCCCCGAAGCGTTTTGTTTGCAGAACCAGCCGTGCTGCCATCCTTTGAAATGATGGGAGGCCTGGGCCAGCCTCCCCCAGAGCAGCCCCCAGACCACAACTGGGTGCGTGCTCTGGTCAGAAGTGCGGGGCCAGTCTGGCCGCGGCCACGAGATGGCGCTCTGGGTCCCGAAGACCTCGGCCTGCGTGGACAAACGCCACAAGAACAGGTGCTCTCCGAACCCAGCATGGAGATGATGGTGGAAGTCTGGGTTGAATTACGAGCTGCAGACGACGCAGACGCCCCCGCCGTCGTTCTAACTGCGTGCGCATGCGCGTAACGCGAGCTCGGGTGTCCACCACCACTGGGCCGAGCACCCAGCAGGCCGCGTGGGCAGAAGAGTGCGCAAGCGGCAACCCTTCGGGAAATGCCATGCGGACGACGGCGCCGAGGCTCGACGGTGAGGCAGAAGCAGCAGACGCCACAGGCGCGGACGCTCCACGACTGCGAGCCAGAAGCCGCAGCGCCCGCGCACGCCGCGTACGTACTCGAAGCGCACGCCGCGTACGCCAAGACTGCGAAGCAGAAGCCACTTCTCCTCCTCCTCCTCCTTCTCCTCCTCCTCCTCCTCCTCCTCCTCCCTTTCCTCCTCCCCCTCCCCCTCCTCCTCCTCCTCCTCCTCCTCCTCCTCCTCCTCCTCCTCCTCCTCCTCCTCCTCCTCCTCCTCCTCCTCCTCCTCCTCCTCCTCCACTGCGCGCGCACGCCGGCCGTCGCGCGAGCTCGGGCTCCCGGAGGCCACCTAGTGGTGGGCCGACGCACCCCGCGGACCTCGAGAGGCCAGGCCTCTGCCGAGCCTCCGCCTCCCTCCCTCCGCCCCCCTTCCTTGACCCCCTCCCTCGGCTCGGCGGCGAGCGAAGAGGGGAAGCGAGAAGGAGAGGGCCTCCTCGAGGAAGCGAGAAGGAGAAGGAGAAGGAGAGGGGGGGAAGCGAGGAGGAGAGGGCCTCCTCGAGGAAGGCGCGGACGTCCTCTGGCCTGCCGAGAGGTCGTCTGAGTTTTTTCTCCCCGGAGACTAATTAGCGGAACTTCGCAGAGGGCGCGAGGGCTTCTGAGAGGTCCTGCCGCCTTCTGAGAATGCCCTCTCTCCGTCTCACTTCCCCCCCTCGTTCGCCGCGATTGGCTTCCTTGCTCCGCTGCTCCGTTCTCCAATCGTCCTCCCCGTTCCCTCAGCTCACACCCACGTCACGTTGGCCGGTCCCAGGGAGGTCCCCAGGCGGCGTGAGGAGCAGCAATCCAGCGCGCCAAATGACCTGGCCGCATGCCCTGGCCCCCACGAGGTGAGCACCAACACAAACCGGCATGCAACTGGGAAGACCCGAACGTACCGATACCGCTACTCTCTGGACCTCTTCCGGGGTGCGTTCCGACTCACACTTCGCGGCGAACCTGGCTGTAGTGGCGAAGCATCTGAGGATGCCCAAAAAAAGCGGACACCGAGGAAGGGCGGCGGTATCCTGGCCATCGCTCGGACGTCCATTCCCAGTGCACTGTTCGATTTCGTGGTTGTACATTGTGCAAGGTGGTCCAATATGCTCCTCGATGATTAAAACAGGGCTAGGATCGGGATAAATCGCTCCAGAGCGTTCCGGAGCGCTCTCAGAGCGTTCCGGAACGCTCTGGAGCGGCCGCGGCGCCCAATACATCCTCCAAACCCGCCGATTCTCAGAGATTTCGAGTTATCCCGATCCGATTTTGTCCCGATCTTCGCGTCGTTTTATCGATGGTCCTCGCCGAGAAACATGCACACGTCAAAATACACCTGTCCCTGACATGGGAGGGGCGTCGTATCCACATGGAAGGGCGCGCCGACCTCGAAGGGGGGCATGTCCGGCACTCTGGAGGCTCATTTTGAACGAGGGCAGTAGGTCGCCTGGCTTCGAAAGAGCGCGCTGCCCAAGTCGGGTCGGGCGAAAGGGGGGGATAGCAAACGGGTGGTTTGAGAATCAGCTCACGTAGCTGATTTTCCCGGCGCCTCCCGGCGCAGGAGGCGGCTATGTGTCGAGGAATGGACCCCTCGATGAGGCCGAAACCAGCTGCATGCAGCAAATTTCGTAACCCCCCCTTTCCCGATCCCCCCCTTTCGTCCAGCTCGACAAAGGGGGGGAAGCTAAGATGGGGGAGCTAAGCCCCCCCCCCCGTGGAAAGGGAGGGGGGGGGGGCAGCTCCCGGAGCGCGACAGACAGGAGGAGCGCCAAAGGAGAGGGGGGGTAGCATTCGAGGGCGGGACAAAAAGGAGGGGGGGGGAGGGGGGGGGGCTCCTCCAGCAGGTAGGGGTCCCAGGGGGAGGGGAGGGAAAGGGGGGGGGGGGGGGAGGGGCGCTTCCAGCAGGGTAGGGGGTCCCAGGGGGGGGGGGGGGGGGGGAAGGGGGGAGGGGGGGGAGGGGGGCCCTTCCGGCAGGGGGGGCCCCCTGCTGCCAGGGGGGGGGGGGGGAAAGCTGCGTCCGAGGGGGCCTCCCCCCCGCGCCTCTGGGCTGGGAGTGCACCGCGCGGCGCGCCGCCGCCCCGCCTGCGCGCCTCGTGCCTCCGCCCCCCCGCGCCCCGCGCGCGGGCCTCCGCGGCCTCCGCGCCCCCTCCGCCCCGGGGAGGGGCGCTCCTCCGGCCAGGCCGCTCCCTTGGCGGCGCGCACTTAAGGGGGTGGGGGGAGGGGGGGAGGGGGGCTTCTTGGACGCAGGCTGCTTCTTGGAAGGCGCCGGCCGGCCTCACGTCTACAGATCAGGCCCGCGCCTTCTAAGAAGCAGGGGTGCTTCTGAGAAGCCCTCCCCCCTCTCCCCACCCCCCTCTGCGCGTGGCTGGCTCCCGCCCAGGCCGCGCTATACGCGCGACGAGGGCGCGGCTCTCGTCTCGCGCCCCCCCCCCTAATAGGCCTCCTAGATGGGGTCGGGGTAGATGTGGTCGGAGGATCACGCCCCCCCTAAGAGGCCTCCTGGATGGGGTCCGGGTAGATGTGGTCGGAGGAGCGCGCTGCATCGCAGATACAGCGGCGATGCAGCGGCGATGCATCGGCGATGCGCCGGCGATGCATCGACGACGCCGGCGGTGCATCGGCGACGTCGGTGCGGGGAAACGCGGGCTCCACATCGAGCCACATCGGCGATGCGGCGCGATCCGCCGACCCCGTCTACTCGGACCCCATCTAGGAGGCTTAGAGGCCCCCCCCCCCCCCCTCGGGCGACCCGGGCGTCCACGCGGCGACTGGGTGGACCCTGCCCGGCCCTGCCCCTGCTCGGGCGCACGCTGACATGGAAATTAGGGATACGGACTTGGCGCGAGGTCACCGGGGTCCATGGATCGGGAAGGTGCCCCCCGAGAAATGGCGCCGATCCCGCCCGATCTGGTGGCGGAGCGCGCAGATCTTGCGTGGGAACGGGGCCCGTCGCTAATCCACGTGCATTGATCCATGTGAGTGTTTCTTCGACCTGCGGGCCAGATTTCTGAAACGCTGGCTGGGGTTCAGAATCCGAAGGCCATGCTGCATCCACGGGGGACCTCGTCTGTCCCGTTGCGGTCCTCTCCGCATCAAATCCGTGTCGAATCCACGTCGGACTCGTCGGATCCGTGTCGAATCGGTGTCGAACCGGTGTCGAATCCGCGTCGAATCCACGCCACATCCGCGCCGAGTCCGCATCGAGCCTGCGTCGGGGCACGAGAAAAAACACCCCTCTGCGGGGACAGGCAGGGTCCCCCGAAGATGCCACGCGACGGCGGGTGTCTGCAGCAAGGTGAGCCCCCGCGGGGGTGTCCTAGATAGCCCAGCGCCGAGTGGACCCGACGGAGCAGGGCTCGCAGATGGTCGCAGGGCATCGGCACTGCCTCCAAACACTCTCCAGCCCATGCCACCACGCGCGAAGCGCGGCCATCTTCGCGCCCCCTCTCTCGGGCGGGTGGTAATGGGGGGTGGCCCAAACGGGGGGTGAAGAGAAAAAACTTTAAAGGGGCCCTGTAGTTTGAACGCCCGAAATGGGTACGGAAGAAATGGGCACAATGCCCAGCAACAACAAATGTTGTCCCAAACCAACAGCGGCCGCTGTTGTGCAGGCGGCCTTCTGTCTCACATGTACACAGGCCGCGGCGACACCGACAGCGAGTCCTGCTCAAAATGAACAGGAACCGCTGTTGGGCATCGTACCCATTCTTTCCGTACCCATTTCGTTCGTGTCGATGTAGGGCCTTTTCCTTCACCCCCCATGTAGGCCCCCCCCCATTACCACCCGCCCGACTCTCGGGCGACCTGGGTATCGGCACATTCGCCTCCTCGGAGCAACCGCCACCCCCCTGCTCCTTCGGGCAACGCGCGCACAAGCGGGAGCACGGCGGCCTGGAAGACGCAGCGCCAGGCGCATCGCCTCGGCGCCGGGACCACGCCGTCCTGGAGCGCAGCGGCCCGATCGGGTGCTGCCAGAAGTGCCCCTGGCCCGATGTGCCCCCAGGATTTCCACGGAGGCCCCCGAGGGCCTCCGGAGCACCCCAGACGAGGCCCAGAAGGCCTAAGAAGCTCCAAAACGGCACGAGAAGCTCGGCACCTCGATTTCTAGATCATTCACGATAACGCCCGTGACTGGCTCCGCCCTCCCACTCCCCCCCCAGCCCCCCTGGTCACGTAACGGTCCGCGCCAGCGCAGTCTGGGAATTGGGCGTTCCCACACGGCGCCCTCGCCCCCCTCCGGTCAGGAACTGTTGCGCTTGAAGTGTTGCGGCGCCGGCCCCCGCGACACGCTGTGCCTCGCGAAAAGGATAGCGTGTCGCTCCGCTTCGCGGGGTGCGAGACAGGGGAACGCTCGGCACGTGAACGCCTGGGGGCCGCGAAGTGGATCGCGTGTCGCGCCAGAGCGTGGTGGGCCAGAAGCGGCGGGCCGACACGCTATCCAACAAAATCCCGACCGCATCGCCAGGGAACAAACTATAACATGCGTATCACCCCGCAGGTGCGGATAAGAGCACGGGGGCAGCGAGGACGTGGGCAGTCTGCGGGGCTCTGGAGAAGCCCGCCGCAGGCGCCCAACTTTTCCAAATTACGTAGGAAGTGAGCCCGCCGCAAGCGCCGATTTTTTAGTTTCCACAATGTGAAAGGGTCGCGGGGTGGGTCGCGGGTGAGTCGCGGGCGGGTCGCGGCCGGGTCGCGGCCGGGTCGCGGGCCGGGTCGCGGGTTGGTCTCGGGGTCGTGGGTTGGTCGCGGGTGGATCGTCGCCGGGTCGTGGCCGGGTCGCGGGCCAGGTCGCGGGTTGGTCGAGGGTCGGTCGTGGGTTGGTCGCAGGCGGGTCGCGGGGTGGGTCGCGGGCGGGTCGCAGGTGGGTCGCGGGTGGGGTCGCGGGTGGGTCGCGGGCAGGTCGCGGGTGGGTCGCGGGCCCAGTCGCAGGGGGGACGACGACAACAAGGACAAGAACAATAACAAGAACAATAGCAAGAACAATAACAAGAACAACAACAACAACAACAATCATTTTAAGACTGTTCGCTCTTATCTGCCCGAGTGTCCGTTAACGCTTATTTCCCGAACCCTCGATACCCGCCCTCTTCGTCTTCGATCGTACCCGTTTCGGGGGGTGTACCTTTCCCTGCAGGCCAAGCCCTGGCAAGCGGCGGGGCGGCAGCGGACCGTCGGCCTGGCCAGCGGCAGCGCTGATCGGCGGCAACCTGACCCCAAGAGGGACGGACAGGGGACCGACCGCGACGACGACGACGACGACGACGACGACGGCGTCGACGACGACGGCGACGACGACGACGACGACGACGACGACGACGACGAGCGAAACCGAAAGCGAGAGAGAAAACGACAGCAGGGCCGGGCCCCGGCAAGCGACGGGCGGCCGCGGACCGTCGGCCTGGCCAGCGGCAGCGCTGATCGGCGACAGCCCGACCCCAAGAGGGACGGACAGGAGACCGACGACGACGACGACGACGAGCGAAAGCGAGAGCGAGAACGAGAGCGACAGCGGGGCCACGAAGGGCAGGAAGGGGGCCACGAAGGGCGACAGCGGGGCCACGAAGGGAATGCGTATGGGGCCACGACGAGCACGAAAGAGCGGGGGCCACGAAGGGCAGATAAT